CCTCCAGACGGTAACTGATGTGGAAGGAGTTCTATATCTAATTGAGGATCCTGCCTATGAAAGATATACGAAGGGAGTCCCTCCAACTAAGGAGTCCAAAGCAAAGGAAACCCCTGTTCCACTTAAGGCGGTGACATCTATTTTCATCTTGTCTTCATTTCTCCTCCTGCTGGCCCTGACTAGTTTTGGAGTCGAACGTAGAACTCATTTCTTTATAGAAAGTACCAAGCACTTAAAAAAAATTGGGCTGGGTCAGTTAAAAAATCAAAACATCAACTCTTCATACAACGTCAAATTATTTTTGATAGAAAGATGAGCATATTTTAAATTTTCAAAGTTTCTAATAATGTTGAAATAGCTGCAATTACTGGTAAGTGTGGCATGGATATGTGTTGAAGTCACAACTCTTTTAAAAATCCAGATTTTGGCTGGAAACTTTTTTTAAAATACCGCCACGGGCGAAAACATCCTGGTAAACGAAAGAATATGGGTCCGCTTGTATTTGAGGCTGAGCGATTTAAAATTAGTCCCGACAAGATTGGCGATAACCACCTGACACCCCTCCATAGTGAGTGAAGATCATTTCATATCCACGAGGGTAAACTCTTAGGAAAATCAGTAAAGCGCGGTATTGATATGTGACTTTACCGCCTTGGTAATGATTTAGTAATAAATTGACAAAAATAATACCATATGGTACAAAATTTAATACCACCTAGTAATAAAATGATTACCACATAGAATTATTTCATTACCGAATCTATACCAGGGTAGTACAACCGTTTAAATCCAAAGCGGTAGAGTAACATATCAATATCGCTGATTTTTTTAATACCCAGTTTCTAAGAGTGTATGTTGTCCTGTTTACGGCCAACCCGTGTCTCCTTACTATTTACGCTGTGTCTCTATATATATATTTTTTTAGAGCCATATCATACTAACAATGGAGGTCTCCCAACGTATGCTCACAGATTTGGACGAAACTAGTGTCAATCGATCACAAATTTAACCAATATGAAATTTGCAAATGCAACTATCTGCCAATGCGCAGGAAGATATTTGCATAAAAAGAGGCGAAAACGCGCCCAAAATGCCATCAATTTTACACTTTTCGAATTTTGGCTTACAAATTTGCAAGTTTCCGGTTCTTCTTATGCAAATATCTCCGCCAAACCTGCGCATTGGCAGATAGTTGCATTTGCAAATTTCATATTGGTTAAATTTGTGATCGATTGACACTAGTTTCGTCCAAATCTGTGAGCATACGTTGGGAGACCTCCATTGTAAGTGTACTAGAATACCAATTTCCATATTCAGCGTGAAACTCGGATTCTCGTGTATCCACCAGAATCTGTGTTTACGACAGTGCCGTATGTATGTATGTATTGGTGGGGTGACGATCCTGCCATTGTTAGACAGGACCAATCAGCTGCGTAAGCACTTATGGCTTATTGCAGTCTCCCCATACACGGCACGTGCCTTAATGTGCTGAATCCCCTAAGACAGATAAATCCCCCATGACTTAAAAATCCTCCGGTCCTGACTATAAATTAAGTCAGGACCAGAAAGAGATTTGGACATTCTCCGCCAAATTCTGGTGGCATATTTCTACACCTCCCACTTTTCGGTCCATCCTAGGTAGCGAATCCTCCACCGCACGACGACCGGCCCAAAAAGAACCCCCCAGTGGTTCGCCACCACGACCAACTCCTGAGAAACTCAGCGGGTCGCAGCCCCACCAGACTCAGTCCGCCGGGCCACCCACCGTGCGGCAGAGCCCCCCACCAGTGATGAACTCAATTACCCTACGCTCTCCACCACAGCGTATGTAATATTAACAGTGGGCGAGGACTTGGTTCAAGGCCCACGGACTGACCACCTGAACGAGAACTACTCATTTCTCAGTCCTGCCCCCTGCCCCAGAATCGGCGTGGTGACCGACTCAGGGTGGCTCGTAGTCAGGAGGGTCTGAGACAGCGCTCGTCCATTCCATCCAGGGCACTTGTTCCTCCTCCCAGCCCAACCTGCAAAAAATAAATATTAGTAAACTAAAACATATTGCAAGCCACGTTGATGGACACGTGGCATGCAAGGATTTTGGGTGAAAATAAAGTGTGGGGCAAATAAAATAAAGTCAAGTCAGTGCCGTATGTGTCGCACTTTGACATGCAGGATTAAATTAATTCTGGGCTTATAAAAACATGATAGCCTTTTATTGTTATCATGATTTTTTCATATGAATCTGTAATTTGGGGCGATTTGAATCTGCATTAGTGACAAAAAGTGTGCTACGGCACTTGCTATATAAGATGGTCCCCGCAGCAACTTTGACCGCAAAAATCTCATGGTCCCGGTCATTTCCCGGCGGACAACAGAAGCTGAAAATGTAGCTCTTCTGACGTAGAAAAACCTGGCATCAGGTTGTCAGCCGAGAAATGACCGGGACCATGAGTTTTTTAACGATTTATGTGTCGCTAAAAAAAAACGCGAATTTTCGAATTTTGAAACTTTTGATGCATCAAAATGTTCGTATTCATAGGGGAATTGAAATGTCAAATGCAGCTTGGGGTCTAATTATTAGCGTGTCGAGTGTGCATTAACTTTCTCATTTTCCCCAATTTTCTTCCCAAATTATCGAAGGGGGTGTGGTTGCATATAATTCAAAAATAGTCATGCTACAATGTAGCATGACCATAGCATGACTACAATGTAGCAGCTACATTGATCCTTCCAATGGGATATTCCTTGGCATATTTTTAAATGAATTTCGGTGAAATCATGCAACGGGGGCTGTGCACAGTACATTTGATACATTTGGTATGGCTCTTTATATGTTTGGCCCGGGCCCCCAACAGCTCGGAATACGCAAAAATTTCATTAAAAAAGTGCCTGTGGAATTGTTTCCGATAATTTTGGATTATTTCGCTCTGCGCTCTGCTTCACAATACATGCTAAAACCACTATTGAAATTAGCCTGGTGATGATTTTTGCCTGATAGGAAATCGAAAAATAAGACATTTTTGTTGTTTCATATTTTTTCTAAAAAGTGACCGTATGACCTGTTAAAAAACATTGCACTTTTTCTATTCTATGCATACATGCATGTTAAACAAAAAAAATTAAAGTTTTTTAACAGGTCACTTTTTTGTAAACTATGAAAGAAGGAAAATGCCTTATTTTTTGATTTTCTAAAAATAATTTTAGAAAAATCACCACGAGGCTAATTTCGAAAGTGGTTTTAGCATGTATTTTGAAGCATAGGCTGTCCAGAGACCCGGGGAAACCCTGATTGTATCAATTAATAATTGATTTGCGGGCTATTAAGTGCATGTCCTAAACTTCAGGACATAAACTTGCCTTTTCTCTTACCTAATTTAGTTTTGTCTAATTTATTTATTGAGGAGTATAAAACTTTCTGTAGTCTGTATCCCAGAATGCCGCAAAGTTTGGAGCATATCTTATCGAAATTCAATCTAAACTAGAACTGTATTATCGATAGTACGACTATGTTGAAGCTGTGTTCGCAAAACAGCAAAAAAGTGCTGTAATACAATTTTGCTTTTTACATACATACCTTTTAGATTTCTTTTTTAAATTGGACATAAAGATCATTTAGCTCTTTTTATAATAGAACAAAGGAAGCACATACCTCTTTTTAAAACGATGTGGTGGCTTGTTTAATATATTTTAGTTTTTTCACCACCCGTGGCTCGAATCACCCAAACAAATCCGTAAAAAAAACAAATATTATTAGAATTTTGCATAACTTAGGATGAGTTGGTTTTGTAATCTTTAACATTAAAAATAACCCTTTAATAAAATCTATTTAAAATTTGTATTATAAATTTCTAGCCCATTTTTTGCCAAAAAGTTAATTCATTTCAACAAGAATGATAACTTTTGTCCCGTGATTATTCAATATTCGTGACCACGAACATATTTATTTACCAGTACATAAATTTGCAAATAAAAGGAAAATTTATCTCTAACTAGTAAGTTGTACACGCATACACGCACTCATTTATTTAGCACGAACACGATTTTGTTAAAACCCCGTTCTAAGGTTTTGCATGTCACGATAATTTTTTACAATAGACATGTTTTTCCTAAAATATTTTAATATAATTCAATAAGGAGGTTGCATGCTTTAAATTACTCATATTATGTGAGTCAAATGAGTATATACATAGATTCTATTCAATTCTATGGGACATAATCCTCCTAAGAATCATTGATTGAATAGATTATTATTTTTATTATACATCCCATTCATGATAAAAACGCTATAGAAAATATACATCAAATCAATTCTGTATCAGGATGAAGGATTCAGTTAATGCCAGTTTCTCCAACTAAACTATATGTAGTTATACGCTTGAAGAAATAAAAATTAATTTCCACCCACACAATTTCTTGCAACTTTGTGTTTCATAATATGAATTTGCCGATCCACCTGTTACCAATTTTTCTTCTTCTTCACTCTGCACATACCTTTTCAAGACGAACGGATCCAGGCTAGAGTATGAGATTGAATTTGAACGCGCGGTACGTATATTTTTAATTCTGATGAAATTACCTATCTACAGATATTTATAAATAAATATTAATGTACCTTTAACACACTAATTGGCTAACAAGGAGTCTCTACTTCGGCGTTCTAAATAGTACCACGTGCAGGGATCCGTGTGGTAATTACCTGTAGGCTTAATTAATTAGCGCAAGGTACTTTATGCGATCGGTTAGTTAGTCTGTCTGTCCGTCTGTCTGTCAACACTAAAACTCTAGAACGGTTTGTCGCAGCGACCTGAAATTTTTAACACATGTTCTACACGTGTAGGGGGTGACACCCTATTAAGGGGGTGTGGCCAATTTGTCGACATCATGTCGAAAAACGGCGCCAAGCCCTAATTTCGGCATTTTTTGGGCGATTTGCATCAAATTTGGACAAAACATGTTTTTCCGTGTTGTCGACATGTCGCAATATGGCGACTAAGGTTTCGACACTTTTTTTCGCCACATTCTGTCGCCACGCTCTAATTTCTGCATTTTGCGATCGATATGCATGCAATTTAGGCAAAACATGTTTTTCGGGGTTGTCGACATGTCGCAGTATAGAGCATGTGGTCAATTACAGATAATTAGATTAATTTGAGCTTTATAGCGCAAATAAATTCTCAGCATTCTCAGCATTCTCAGCATTATTGCGCTACTTATGTATCGTGCTTGGCCGCACTTTGTTTAATTTGGATCGACCAAATTTTTCACGCAAAGCCTAACGAATTCCAAAATATAACTTGCATATTAAATTTGTTTGTATGTAGATGAGTTGCATTGAATATAGTCCAAATGTTAGGGATGCAGCGAGTCCTAAATTTTAAAACCGAGCCGAGTTCGAGTACTCGGGTAAATTTTGGACAGAGTACTCGAACTCGAATTCCAGTAAAATCAATTATGCCGACGGTGTGGTCACGTTAATTTCTTAATAAGTATTTAAAATTTTCACGACACAGAATTCTGGTGACATGTCGTTACTCCTTATTCCTTCCAACCTTTGGAGACCTTTTAGTAAGGCAGATGTAAGTGACATGTCGAATCTCCAAGTATTGTTTTATTCAATTTCTTACTTCTGAATTAATTAATATATTTATTTTCATAGACATGCCGTGACAAAGTTAAGCTTCTAAGGGATGAACTTAATCAAATTATTCCACTAACCGTGGCATTTCCTTGGTCAGGATGCGAGCTTGACAAAACCACGAGCACAACTTTGTGCAAAAACCATAGGATGTTTGCATCTTCAAAAGATCGCACGTGGTATGTGAGCATCGCAAACTGTAACAGTACAAAGGTATGGGATATCTCTAATCAACTACGAGCTGTCCCGCCACAAGAGCTGAGTCGTGTTTTCAGAAATCCGATCCGATCCATTTTGCGGATCATCAAAAATATCCGATCCGACCCGTTTTTCGGATTTACAAAATACCCGATCCGATCGGTTTTTAGCCCGAGTGAGGGCTTATGTAACAGTCATGTTGTCTTTCTGTCTATCTGTTCGTCTATCGATTACGGTCGTTAAACTTACCCTTTCGACTTGAAATTTGGTACACATGTAGTATGGGCTAAATGAGGAGTGAAGTTCGAAGATGAGCAAAATCGGTCAAGTAGTTGACCAGTAGGGGTGGTTTGGGTGGGTAGGGTGACTGGCACCAAAATTCCAAATTGTCTAATTGAAGAATGTTAATTAAAATCTGAAAAATTTTAGCCTGGAGGAACTCTATCGGACAACCCGTACCGACTTTTCAAAATTTTCATATCTAGCTGAAATTTGGTATATAGGCTACTAATTGCAACTAATGGAATAAGATGAATTTAGATTGGAAAAATCAGTATTTTTTAAATTTCTTGATATGCAATAAGATTTCATGCAAAAAAGTCGTATTGAGTGATAACAACAACTTGGCCTGACTCGGGCTACATCAAGTCTGCACTGTAAGTTTTTACTAGAAAATATGAACTACTAACAAAAAAGACGGATATTCAACTCAGGATCAACCTAATACTTGAAATTCGAGTATCTGGCTTCGCATAAGGCGACAAATCTGAGTCGGATCCACGATTTCAGAAACCCGAGCCAATGCATTTTTTGGATTGAAAACAAAAAATATCCGATCCGGTTTTCGGATCGATTAAAGATAATATCCGATCCGATCAAAACGGAAAGGATTATCCGAAATAACGGATATCCGACTCAACTCTGCAGGCCACCCGACAAAGTACATACAACTTTGTATGTACTTTGTACTAATATTAATATTGGAATATTAATTGCAAACAATTAATATTCCTAATCAATTTGCCGATATTATTTAGGGGCTTGACATAAAATACAAAATTTCTATGAAAAACCACGGCGATCTTGAGAAAGGAGCTTCTCATGCTAGTCGACTTTGTAAGTTATTTCTGCTGTGATAACTTGTTTAAGAAATTCTGATAGTGTAGCAAATTTATTAATTTTATCCCTTTCAGATACTCGGTCGTCATTTGTATTCCTTGGGTTTGTGTATGCCTTCTTTGGGTTATTGTGAAGAAAAATGGTGTTGCAAAATTTGAATGAAATAAACTGGTTGACAAATTTATGAACTGGACAAATTTAAAATTATAAAATTGTATCGATATGCATAGCAATATGTATAATTAAGTACATGGTTAATAAAAATTTAGATATTAGACATTGGCTATTGTGGCTCATTCAAAATTATTTAATTAGCTTACCAGATCCAAAACAGGGCATAGGAATTTAGTAATACGAATAATCAATATGAATATGATTCATATTATATGAATAATTAACTATTTAGAATATGCGTTTTTTCAAATTTTGAATGGATGGATGAAATTTTGAACAGGCATTGATCAAGTTGTTAACCCATCATCGTGACACGCCTGGTTACATTTTATCATCATTAATGTTTCGCCGTCTTATGCTGGGCAAAGTTAATTTCGGATGAAAGCCCTGGATTGTGTTAATATTTATCCGGTTGCCACGGATTGCACCGGATGGTTCATTCGGGTTACTTTAGCTGGTTTCCCGCACTATTGGGTCCACACGTATCGTTGGATTGGAGAAGAATTAATCAAGGAAGGCTTACAAATTGGCTCCGCGGGACCCTGCTTTGATCAATGTGACGCGCGAAATTGGAACGGTGACAGGAAAGAAGCCGTCCATGTCACGCTTTATGACGAAGAAAAATTCAGGGGTAATTTAATAATTATGTAAAATAAAGTGCGGCAAAGCACGATACATATGTATGTAGCGCAAAAATGCTTAGAATGCTTCACAAAATAAAACAAATAATTCACCGATTCAAATTTTAATAATGCCTAACAACGAATTAATTAAAAACAAATTAATTATCTGTAATTGACCACATGCTCTGTACTGCGACATGTCGACAACCCCGAAAAACATGGTTTGCCTAAATTGCATGCATATCGATCGCAAAATGCAGAAATTAGAGCGTGGCGACAGAATGTGGCGAAAAAAAGTGTCGAAACCTTAGTCGCCATATTGCGACATGTCGACAACACGGAAAAACATGTTTTGTCCAAATTTGATGCAAATCGCCCAAAAAATGCAAAAATTAGGGCGTGGCGACGCTTTTCGACATGATATCGACAAAGTGGCCACTCCCCCTTAATAGAGTGTTACCCCCTACGCGTGTAGAACATGTGTTAAAAATTTCAGGTCGCTGTGACAAACCGTTCTCGAGTTTTAGTGTTGACAGACAGACGGACAGACAGACTAACTAACCGATCGAATAAAGTAGCCTGCGCTACTTAATAAACCGTTACCGACACATCCTTTTGGAAGTAACGCTGTATGACCATCACGGGAATTGCAGTAAGTGTTTTAAATATCTTAAATAGTGCATAACTGTACGGCACGTTAAAGCTCGGTTAAGAAACCAAGATCAAATTTTTCAAAAGTTGGAGCTTGGGAAATGCTTTAACAACACATGGAAACTATGTTGTTACCCAATCGAAGCTACATAATTTATATTTGACGTATTATTGCGGCAAATTCCTAAGAGCAGGGCTTCGCCGGGTTTCTTCGCCGGGTTTCTTCACAGCCTATGCTTCAAAATATATGCTAAAGCTACTCTTGAAATTAGTCTGGGGGTGATTTTTTTCTTATAGAAAATCGAAAAATAAGACGCTTGAGTTCTTTCATATTTTTCGAAAAAGTGACCGTGTGACCTGTTAAAAAACATTGAAGTTTAGCTATTTTACGTATACAGTCATGTAAAATAGTAAATTTGCCATGTTTTTTAACAGGTCACACGGTCACTTTTTCGAAAAATATGAAAGAACTCAAACGGCTAATTTTTCGATTTTCTATAAGAAAAAAATCACCCCCAGACTAATTTCGAGAGTGGCTTTACCATATATTGTGAAGCATAGGCTGTCCAGAGACCCGGCGAAACTCTGGATATGTTTACACTTGCTCAGGTCATTCAGCCACCCTTAATCTCACCTACGGCTGCGTCACCCTGGACGATGACAACCAACAAAATCCATCCATTCGGACCAACGGACACTGCGTCCTCCTCTACGGGATGACCAACTGTGGAGCAGAACACGGCTTCTACGTCGTACAAGAACTAAGAAACCATTCCTTCGATATTCCCTTGACGATTCCATTTTATCCAAAGTCCATCCAGTTATGTTATTACGAGGAACAGATTCCGTCCCAGGATGAACAAGAAGATTACGGGCTTAATCCGATAGCTGACAAGGAACCGATTTGGGCATTAATTTTGATCGGCTTTGGGGCCATATTTCTCCTCATGTTTACCGCCCTCGGGGAGCTTATATTTCTAAAATGTACCAAAGTACTGGGCTCCATGGAAAATTTAGTGTCTCCATTCTCGGTGGCGGAGTCCCATCTACCTTTTGCCCTTTCTTTTTCGGAGCGTCCCTCACGGCCCTCAAGAAAAAGTCGGGTGGGATCCGACCCATCGCCGTATGGAATACGTGGCGGCGCTTGGCCGCTAAGATCGTCGTGGGGAGAATAACCCCCCAACTAATCCAACATTTTTCTCCCCATCAACTTGGAGTAGGTATCAAAGGCGGGGCGGAGATCGGCGCCCACGCTGCCCGCATCTACTACAACCACGCCCACACCTCTCCAAAGGCGTTCCTGAAAATTGACTTCAGGAACGCTTTCAACGAAATTAGGAGGGATACGCTCCTCAACGTTGTCCGCGACTTGTTCCCGTCCATTTATCCCTTCGTGGCGCAGTGCTACGCCAGCCCCTCGTCGCTTTTTTACGGGACGATCCCCATCCCCTCGTTACTCGGGTGCCAGCAAGGGGACCCTTTGGGCCCCGCCCTATTTTCCCTCGTGGTCCACCCCATCGTCGAAGCAATTGAAACGGAGCTAAATTTGTGGTACCTCGACGATGGGGCCATGGGCGACTCACCGGACAAGGTTTTGGAGGCCCTAGCAACCGTTGCTAGGTTGAGTGGTGAGGTTGGGCTGCACCTCAACCACGAGAAATGCGAAGTGGGGATCCTGGGGGCGGAGCGGGAGGACGCCATCGATATCCTCCTCAAATTCCAGCAAGTGGCCCCCGGGATCCAGTTGATGTCCCCCGAATCTGCGATGTTGCTGGGCTCCCCACTTACTAATGAGGCGCTGGGAGTGGTCCTGGCCACGAAGACTCAGCAATTGGCCACCTTCTCCCAACGGCTCCTCGGTCTCTCGGCGCACTCGGCCTTTTTTCTCTTGCGCGCGTCAATCTCCATCCCGAGGCTCATCTATTTTCTCCGCTGCGCCCCATCGTGGAGAAAAATGGACGCTCGTCCATTACGACGCCACTCTTAAGGACGCACTCGAAGGGATCCTCAATTGTACTCTCTCGGAGGCGGCTTGGATGCAGTCGTCCCTGCCGGTGAAGGAAGGCACGCTGTGGATGTGGCGATACCGTGTTTTCTCGCGTCCGCCCACAGCGTTCTGCCCCACGTAGAACGTCTTCTTCCCGGCCACCTCCATGACACCGACATCGCCATGGCAGAGGGGGTGCAACGTTGGACGGATCTCGGACTGACGGACCTCCCACCTGAAACCGTCAGAGGAGTCCAAGCTGCGTGGGAGCGCCCTATTCTGGACAAAACCCTGTCCCAACTCTCCGACATGGCAGTGATCCCGGAGGATATTGCCCGACTACGATCCCTCCGAAACAAATACGCGGGAGTCTGGCTCAACGCTCTCCCCTCTCCTCACCTCGGTACCCTCCTACTCAACGAGACCTTCCGTGTCTCCGTCGCCCTCCGCCTCGGCTGTGACATCTGTCAGCCACACAAGTGCCCATGCGGAGCTCAGGTCTCTTCCCGCGGCCTACACGGCCTTTCTTGTCGCCGGAGCGCCGGTCGTTGGTCCCGCCACGAGGCCGCCAACGATGTTATCGCAAGGGCCCTCCGATCAGCGGAGGTAACCTGCATCAGGGAGCCAGCGGGGTGCTCCACCACGGACGGCAAGCGTCCTGACGGGATGACGCTTGTGCCTTGGGCGAGGGGAAGGTCCCTCGTGTGGGATTTTACCTGCGCCGACACTTTCGCCCCCAGCCACCTCCCAGATACCGTGCGGCATCAGGGCGCTGCAGCCAGCAAGGCGGAGGACGCCAAGAAGAAGAAATATGCGTTCCTCATGGACCGGTACATTTTTGTGCCGGTTGCCATGGAAACGACAGGTGTTTGGGGGCAGGACGGGCTGGCCCTCATCGAGCAAATTGGCCAGAGAATCGCCTCCGCGACTGGCCAACCGAATGCGGTCAACTTCCTCCGCCAAAGAGTTTCTCTCGCCGCGCAACGAGGGAATGTCGCCTCAATGTTAGGTACACTTCCTCCAGGAGGGAAGCTGGAGGCAGTGTACTATTTGTAGTACCGCCTTTTACCCATAATTTCCTTTTACGATTTTTTTTTCTACGATTTCTGGAGTTTTTTTTCCTACGTAATTTTTTCTACGTTTTTCAGTGAGGGATAATTTTTGTACAACGCTGGTCGTTTAGGCTTTTTTTATATACGAATTGTAACAGTGTCTCGTATAAATCGGAAATATGAGATTTTTTAAGCAATTTACATAATATCAGAAATAACATTTGTAACACATACGTACATAATAAAATTTCACGTGAAAATGCATAAATTTAACTACGTAATAATGATTTTGGTATAATTTTGCAACAATGGTGCAGGATAAGCGGATAAAATAGATACACAATTTTGGTATAGTTTTCCATTAATGATGCAGGATAGTCGGACAAAAGATATACATAATTATGATATAATTTTGCACTAATGGTGAAAACTAAACGATTAAAATGAATCCTTTAATTTGACATATAATCTCAACAAACTTGACGTCTAAAATATAGTAATTTGTTCCGGTTCTTCTGCACTTTTAGTGCATTTTGCATCTATTCACTCAATTGTTTTGCACCATTTTGACTTCCAGATTGTTCGATATCAATCATGCCACAGTGTTCCTTATTAATATGCATCAATTGATGCAAAAAACTCGTTAACACACAGACACACAGACAGACGGACAGACAGACGGACAGACAGACGGACGGACAAGAGGAATTCAATAGCTCCTCTGCTACGCAGGGTGAGCTAA